ATTTGTATCGTACGTTTTACGGCTTCGGCGCCAACCCCTGACGGCCAGAGCTCTCTGGGCGCCGGTGGGAGGTTAACGCCGGGCTAACCGGCGCCCCGTGTAACTGACACGCTGGGACACGCGGGGGCTGTGCGTGTGGTGGTGGGACAGCACCCCTGGGGCCCCTTGGGCTGTCACGGGAGGTCTGGTGGCCAACCTCGCTATTCCGCCTCCTGGCGCGCGCGGTGCCTGAGCGTCGTTCAGGGTAGGGCACGGACTTAGGCGTGGTAGGTTACGGGTGCGTGGACCCTTGGAAACTAGTTTGCTGCTGTCCTGTTCGTTAGTAACGTGTGGTATACGTTTGTCCTTTAAAATAAACACGCGCAGTTGTCTACAGCTGATGGATCCCATTCTTGGGAGTTTCATTTACATGTTTGTAACTCTTCAGAAGGTAAACCGAACACTTGGAGGAAGAATTCTATCTGCCTACTAAATTTGCTTGACTCTTGTCTATTTGTAAGAATACAACTGCATTATTAGACACGAATTTATCGGTTATATAGGAAAAAGTGTCTTTTGTGGGCACGTTCCTAATTTTCAAGCATCAGAACTGAAGTAATTTGAAGGGAGAATTTCTTTTGGCACTGTTGTTGCTTAACATGATTTCTCTGCCAGCCTACCCGAATAATGAATGATAGTTTGACTTGCAGCATGTGACCTTTCAGTCCAAGTCTGGTATGCAGCATCCTTTCCTTTATTCCTTTGAAGAGATGAGGACACTTGGCAGAACATGGGTTTGCTGCTTTTAGACTCTCGTGTCTGATTCTGCCTGTCTGTACAAGGAGGAGACAGCACAAGCTTCCTCTGTGTTCCTTGGAAGAACAAGTGCTAGATCCAACAGCCAATTCCAAGTGTTTTTAAGAGACATTTAAACTGGTGGTTCTCAGACGATATTTACTGGGGGTGTGTGAGGGGTATTTTGCTAATGATTGACTTCCTGGTCAGACCACAGTGTATCAGGCTGGTAACAGGGCGATGCATTTCCAACCAAAACTGATTCAGCACTTCCAACAGTCACTGTCTTCCTGTTAGGTGCATCTAGATCCAGGCCTGCCTTGGGCAGCCTCAGAAAACGTGTTGGTCTGCGTGCAGGTTGGCTTTAACACTTTTTAAAGCATTTGTGCGCTGAACTGTTTTGCATATTTTCCAAATCTCATTGGTTGTCTAATTCCCTTTTTACATTTACCTTAACGTCCAGTTCATAGTCTGTCAGTTGCAGCTAACTATGCAGTGTTTGTGTAATAAATAAATAAACAAAGCAACCACCAGCTTAAAGAGAGCACAAAGCCAACCAAGCAGATTCTCTGAATTTTAAAAACTAGCCATCCGTGTACAGCTGAAGTAGTAACGTACGGTCTAGTGATGCTGTTGCACGTAGGAAACAGCAGCTACGGTGCCTGCTTAGTACCGAAGTGTTTGTTGACTGGTGGAGGTTGGAAGGTTGTCCTTCCTGCTTTGGTGTACCGCCGCATGCAGTGTAGTTAAATACAGTGCCTTATTACTGATCTTGGGGGTTTTTAATGATGTACCTGCTATTACAGCAGAAATCTCTGCTGAACAGGCGCAGCACTAACTTCTCTAGAAGGTAATAGAGCTAAGTCTTGCAGAAAGCATAATTCATATCAGTGGGTACGTATACAGATACCTGTTGTTCGCTTTTAGGGAACCCCGTTTGTTTTGATATTGCTGCTGTTGAGGTGGATAGGTTTACCTCTAATTCCCGTGGTGCAGGATCCCGGATTAATTTTACATATGCTTCACCTTTCGTTAGTTTTAATAATTAATAAGGAAGTATGAATTGGCCACCTAGTTTACAACGTAGTTAGCTATAGCTTCTTCAGCGCCTTGGGTAAATAGCATGATGGTATTCATGTACAGCAGTTTGAGCCAGATTGGTTTTAAAAAATAAATGCCATCTGAAATAAAAGTGAATGGTATGAGTGAATTCATGTTATCTGTAATGAGAACTCTGGTGTTTATTTTCCTTCTCCTTAAAAAGTATTTCTTAAAGATCTTGGAGAGGACTGCTCTGGAAGTCCTTGAGTGTTGTCCCTTGTTCTTAATATTTGGAGGGAAAGATGGGAAGCCGCACGTTTATGAAACCTTAGTGTCTGATAATGCCGATGCTGAGGGAGTGCCGTCGGTGATACTAACGTTACCTTCTTTTCTGTGACAGAGGGAAAAGGAGCAGTTCCGCAAACTGTTCATTGGCGGCTTAAGTTTTGAAACGACAGAGGAAAGCTTGAGGAGTTACTATGAGCAATGGGGAAAGCTTACAGACTGCGTGGTAAGTTTGGCACGCTGATGAGCAACAGCGGCATAGACTGTTTAGAAAAAGTAGGGAGCTTGTTTTCTGTATAGCTTAATGAAAAGATGGAATGTTACATTTTCTGAAGCGTACAGTTGGTTGGTTTTTACGTGACTCGGCCTGTTGAAGCTGTACGCAGACTTTGCCTCGCAGACTCTGTTGGTAGAGTTAAGGAGCATTCACAGTCTGTTCCCTCTAAAACCTCCCAGGTTATCTCTCACCACTGATTCCAACAGTTCAGTATTAAACTTGGGTGTCAGTGGCTGAAGTGCCTTAGGGAGTGATCACACGGAGCACTGTTACATCTGTGTGATTGGTAACCTTTGGCAGAAAGCTGATACCATGGTAAGCAGCCTCAGTAAGGCTGGAAAAGTAAGTCTTGGCATGTGATGTTCTCACAGGATCACGTAGGTTGGAAAAGACCCTCAAGATGATTTTGTTGAGTCCAGCTGTAAACCCAGCACTGCCAAGTCCACCACTAAACCCTGTCCTTAAGTCTCTGCATCTTTTAAATACCTCCAGGGACAGTGACTTTTGCAGAAGTTCCTCCACCAAATTTGTCTCAGGTGCATTAAGTACGTATTTCATAACGCAAATGGTCTGTGGTCTTCAGAAAGCTTAAAAGAAACTGTGTTGGATTTTTTTTGAGAAAACAAACATAAACATATGCTGCTGATAGAGCACTATTTCTGAGTTAGGGGTAGTAGAGTCTTGGAGGACAACAATGGTTTGAATTTGTGTGATGCCAAGCAGTGCTGCTGTTGTGCTTAATGAGCGCAGCCTCCTGCTGCTGGGTAACTGCATCTTGAAATCAGGTCAAAGAAAACGCAAGTTGCATTTACATGTTTTCTCCAAATGCTGCAAGCGTTAAGCTTCACGTGAGGCAGGTAGAAATGGCTTAAACGTGTTCGTTATTCTTAGGTAATGAGGGATCCTGCAAGCAAAAGATCAAGGGGGTTTGGCTTTGTAACATTCTCCTCCATGGCTGAAGTTGATGCAGCCATGGCTGCAAGACCTCACACGATTGATGGAAGGGTGGTTGAGCCTAAGAGAGCTGTGGCCCGAGAGGTAAGTGTGGCTTTGAAAGGTGGTGCTTTCCATGCCTTGAAAAAAGGAATCTCTGCTTTGGTCGGACGGTTACGCTTTGTTCTTGTTTGAAAGTGCCCGGGTTTAAATTCTTTAGTTAAAAGGCTGCAGTTGGCACAGTTTCCCACACTTTTGATCAGTTAAATGACACTGTTACATAAATGTCTATTATTACGGTGAGTTATTAAGTTACTCTGGTTGTAGAATCATGTCTGCCAGGGACGCAGCTGGGGTCTGAAAGTATTGTTAGCAAAAACATGTTGAATGACTATAATTACGCAAATTCCAAACTCTTCTCTGGAAAGGTTACTGTTACTAAACCTAAAATTCATAAACTTCTGCCAATGTCTTCTGACTCTGTTCAAAGATCTTTTTGGGTGTTTCTAATAGGTATATGACTGAAGTGACTAAGCAGAGAATGTAGCAGGGAAACTTTTTTATTCCAGTAGGACTACTCTGGCTTTAGCCCCAGGCATCCTGGGTTTTTAACGCCAGGGCACAAATGGGGTGCGGGACTGCCATGCACCTTTACGCTTCTCAGCGTGGTTACTGTGCTTGAGGAGCAGTGCAGGTTCTGGGTGACTCAGGTTTACCACCTCGTGGGAGCTCTGGGAGAGCTTAGCAGTTTGAGGTCAGACCCGGGTGTTCAGTGCATTTGGACTGATGAACAGGAGTTGAATGAGCTGTCCCCGGAGATGAAGGGGAATGGAAATCGTAACCACTGGTATCCCCATTTTCCTTCCATTCCCTGCAGAGTGCAGGGTTGGTTACCTTTTGGAACAAGGGTAATTAAAGCAGCAGATGTGTATACTGTTTATATACACAAAGCTGTCGCTACACTTCAGGAATAAGTCATTCCTGCCTAGTGCAGCACCTTGGATACCATGCTCCAAGTATAAAAATAACAGGAGTGTGAGGAATGTCCTCCTGTTCTGAATAGGGATTAAAATGCGGAGCTGTGGGTGTGCTGAGATTGGAGGACCTTTGCCGTTGATAAGTTTTAAGTTCTTAAATACTTGAAGTTCTTTCAAGCAGTTGATCTTATACTTTCTCTAAATATATTTAAAGGCTTTTATTTACTCTTACCCATTTCATATCACTTCTATCTGCTTTGAAGTCTTCAACATGAAGTGGGGGTGAAAAACCTCCAGAACTATCCCATGTTACACCCTCCCAGAAGCCACCCTCCCCCCCCCGCCAAGCAGGGTTGCAGGGACATGGCATTGACATGCACTGAGGGCTACGTCAGTGCTTGAAAGATCTTGGTTCATCAGTATTCCTTTCCTGAAATCCTGGTAAAATCGTGTTTGTGAAATTGTTTTCTTTGTGGTAATCTTAAGGATTGTTTTAACAGGAGTCGGGAAAACCTGGTGCTCATGTTACTGTGAAAAAACTCTTTGTTGGTGGTATTAAAGAGGACACTGAAGAGCACCACCTGCGTGACTACTTTGAGGAATATGGAAAAATCGACACTATTGAAATTATCACTGACAGACAGTCCGGTAAAAAGAGAGGGTTTGGATTCGTTACATTTGATGACCATGATCCAGTGGATAAAATTGTATGTAAGTAAGCTTCATGCTGCTCTTTTGCTTGATGGTGTTACTCCTTGCAGTCATGGTAATTGTGTGAAGCCAAGCTTAAACCCAAGAGATAACAGGATTAGATGAGTTCTGGCTTCTTTGCTTAATCATATGATATTTTTGTGGGTTTTTTTTTTAATGATTGGGAATATGTGTGGGAAATTTCTTCACTTTTGGAAGCCCGATAGTCTGATCTGTTGCTAGATCGGTACTTAAATGTTGATGGTGTCTTTTTTGATGTGGTTACAGTGCAGAAGTATCACACCATCAATGGCCACAATGCAGAAGTAAGGAAAGCCCTCTCCAGACAGGAGATGCAGGAAGTTCAGAATTCTAGGAGTGGGAGAGGAGGTACGTCTGAGTAACGGTTAATAGTTTGTGTGTTGGCTTCCCATGATCACGCTGCTCATAAATGTTACGCTGTTACAGGGAACTTTGGTTTTGGTGATGCACGTGGAGGGGGTGGCAACTTTGGTCCAGGACCTGGCAGCAATTTCAGAGGGGGAGCCGGTAAGACAGGCATGTTTGTAGCAGTTTTTTTTTTCCTTATTTCTGCTGTCTTTCTGGTTCTGGGTAACTTTGTAAGGTACTGCTCTGCAATTTAAATGCAGCTGTAGCAGTGAGAATTTGGGAAGGGGGGAGGGGGGAATTGCAAACTGCTCCTGTAGTATGTGGGTATTCACTAAATGAAGTGATTTTGATTTTCTTTTAAGGATTTTATTAAAAGCCAAGTGTAGGTTAAGGAATTTGGAGATTTCTCCTCTGTAATTCTATGCAGCACTTGCCTGGCCTTCAGTGGAAGGTCTGTGTGCAAAATCAAAGAAGGGTGCTTTATGAATCCAAGAAAACATAAGGTAGAGAGCAGTGATTGGATGTGTTATTTCACATATGTTTTTCTAAATTCAAGAGTATGTGTGTTCAGTCAGTCATCTCTTAGATTTGGTCCTTAAGGTCGTAGTGCTACAGGGGAATTGAAATACTTTTGTGGGGTTTTTTTCTCCAACAGATGGATATGGAAGTGGCCGTGGATTTGGTGATGGGTATAATGGATACGGTGGAGGACCTGGAGGTTAGTTTACTTTTCTGGTAGTGATGGTGGTTTTCTTCTCACTCAAAAACATGTTTATATTTTACTTAATATTTACATAAAATGTACATTAATTGCCAAAGCCATGTTGTTGGCTTTAAAAGCACATATGGCTGTTGGCTCATGTTAAACCTTTATGTGGTGAATTGCACGGGTATTTCTTGGACAACCATGCCTTTTCTTTAAAATAGCAGTGTTTCTTAAATTTCCTGGAAAATCAAGATTTTAATTAAGCCTTTTAATGAGGCTTTGAGGCAAGTTTGCTGGGTTTTGGTCACAATTTAATTAGGGTGGGTACCTAATTAAAGTATAGGGAAGAGTACCTTTCTCTTCCCTATAACCTTCTCAACAGAAAAACATCCTCTTATTCTGTAGGATTTAGTTTCCTTCTAAACTGAAAAGTTTAAGGGATTGTGTTGTCATAGGTGGCAACTTCGGTGGCAGTCCTGGTTACGGAGGAGGAAGAGGAGGATATGGTGGAGGAGGACCTGGATATGGCAACCAGGGTGGGGGCTATGGAGGAGGTTATGACAACTATGGAGGAGGTAACCGACTGGCTTGAACCGACCAACACTTCAGTTGTAAATTAGCGCAAGTCACGGGAGATTTGGAGGTGGGGGGAGGGTTATAAATGTTGTCTAAGGAAGCAGTTGTTTTCCACATAGTATGAAAAAGCAGTTTGTTGTGTACACTGCTGAAATACATGGGATTTTGTACTTTATTTAAAATTCTAATGACAGATAACTTCGTGAGTGCTCTATGCATTACGGCTCACCTAGGTATTTCTCCACTTTTGTATTGATAACGCAGGCAATTATGGAAGTGGAAACTATAATGATTTTGGAAACTACAACCAACAACCTTCAAATTACGGTCCAATGAAAAGTGGGAATTTTGGTGGCAGCAGGAACATGGGGGGACCATATGGTGGAGGTACTGTATATGTCCTGACCTGCCTTGGAGCAAATCGGAGTGGGCGGGCTTTAGTCTTTAGGGGAGGTGGAAGGGAAGACGGGACAAGGGGTAACTGTTCTGAACTAAAAGAGCATAGACTAAGATTAGATAATGGGAAGAAGTTCTTCCCGGAGAGGGTGGTGAGGCACTGGAGCAGGTTGCCCAGAGTAGCTGTGGATGCCCCATCCCTGGAAGTGTTCAAGGCCAGGCTGGATGAGGCTTTGAGCAACCTGGTCTAGTGGAAGGTGTCCCTGCCCATGGCAGGGGGGGGGAACTGGATGGGCTGTAAGGTCCCTTCCAACCCAAACCATTCTCATTTAAGACTGACATGTAGAAACAGGGTAATTTCTGTACTAGGTGCACTGCAGTCCCCATGCTCTTTCTGCTAATTGGCTACAATTTCTCATCCTGAGACTGTAGAGCTTGTCTTGGGTAAATTATTACTGATTTTTTTAAAGGTAGATTACAAGATAACTAACTTTTTCCAGAACGTTGTGAAATAGATTGCAGTTTCCAGTCTGTAAAGATTTTAGCTAAGTTTCATGCTCTTTGCTGTCGGCTCCCACTGTGTGTAGACAGTCTAGTTAACGTCCACTAAACTTGCTGGGATTTCTTCTTTCCCTGTCACTTTCCTCTGACACTTTGCTGCCTTTTGTTGTCTAAGTGTTCCTTATGGTGGTGGTGTAATGCTTGTGAAGTGGAAACTGAAACACCAAGCCCTTTCTCGTAAGGTTTAGCAGGCAAACAAAGTCAGCCCTCACAGCCTTAAGACAGTGCGGTGCATCAAAGTACGTGTGACCCTGTTGAACCGTCTGCAGTTTTAGCATGTAGTTGCTGGGGCAGTTCTTGGAGGAAGACAGTGAAATGTGAAAATCCTTGTTGTATAGGCCATCTCTGGAAGTAAAGCAGGATGTTAAGTCTTCACACAGAACCAAAAGCATTCCCAGGTTTAAATTAAAACGTGTACTGATGCAACTCTTCTGTGTTACTCCACAATTGCAGGGAACTATGGTCCAGGAGGCAGTGGAGGAAGTGGGGGATATGGAGGGAGGAGCCGTTACTGAGTTTCTGCAAGCATGCCATGGGTAAGTATGTTTTATTAAGTATTAAAATTGCAGTGATTCTTGAGAGTAGCTGCAGGAGTTAAAAGCTTTTTTAGGATCATATTATCTTTCCTTTAAAAAATGGTTAGATGAATAATTTCATAACCTATTTTTTTACTCTTTACTTCTGTTGAAACAGGCTTCACTGTATAAATAGGAGAGGATGAGAGCCCAGAGGTAACAGAACAGCTTCAGGTTATCGAAATAACAATGTTAAGGAAACACTTATCTCAGTCATGCATAAATATGCAGTGGTATGGCAGAAGACACCAGAGCAGATGCAGAGAGCCATTTTGTGAATGGATTTGGATTATTTAATAACATTACCTTACTGTGGAGGAAGGATTGTAAAAATGCCTTTGAGACAGTTTCTTAGCTTTTTAATTGTTGTTTCTTTCTAGTGGTCTTTGTAAGTGTAGAAGCATTCCTTTGATAATGTTAAATTTGTAAGTTTCAGGTGACATGTGAAACCTTTTTTAAGATTTTTCTCAAAGTTTTGAAAAGCTATTAGCCAGGATCATGGTGTAATAAGACATAACGTTTTCCTTTTAAAAATTTAAGTGCGTGTGTAGAGTTAAGAAGCTGTTGTACATTTATGATTTAATAAAATAATTCTAAAGGAAATATTGTGTAATTTTAGATTTTTTTTTTAATACTGTAAAATAAGGCAAGGAGTGGGTAGTATAAGGTCCCACGGATAATATAAAGCTATTGTTGTATATGTAAAATTAAATGCTGGTCAGAAAAAAAAGTATGTTGTCTGTAAATGATCAGATTTAAAGTATCTAGATAACTTAAGGGATATCTCTGCAAGGAGAAACACCTTTTTAGATCTTTTAGATGCTGCTTCTTCAATGGCAAGGAAAGGAAATATCCCCAGCGAGGTACTCTTCCAGGGACACAGGTCTAGTACGAGAGAACTCTTGAAAACGTCACTAAGTTCAGCCAGTCTTAAAAAGCTGCGCTGTATTTCTGCAAAGCTTTAACTGCAGTAGTGTATAAGGATGCCAACGAAGGCTGAGGGTGTAGAGAAAAATAGTTCTAAGCTTCAGTTAAACTTCTTTAGGTAAGATCTTATTTACTTTTCCTTTCTTAATGTTCCAAAAAACAAGAAACTAATACTGTTTGACAGTATTCTTTCAGTACAGTGATTATCGTTATGTAGTTTAACATAGCAATGAATTGAGTTAACAATTACCAATGGAAATTTGTGAATCCTGTTTTCTCTTGTATTATTAAATTTTTTACAAACAAATTTTTGTTAATTTCAGCTACTTAACATATTTTTTTCCTACTGGAATCTAGCTATGATATGAACCCTGGACAAGCATAGACTGCTGCCACTGTACACTGCTACAGTTGAACAAATGAGACCTGCAAGTGTCCATTAGTAAAGCTTTGCAAGGGTTCCATCCCTGGTGTTGGTAGTTAAAATGGTAGGTCACAAGTTAATTAAATAATACGACTTTATTTTTGCATCCTGCAACATTTTATTTTTTCTTGGGAGTCTGTGCGTTACGGGAGTTGCAAGGCGATGCAATGAAGGTAGCTCTGTGCTGTTGGAAATGAACTGACATTGTTGTGTGTCTTGTCTCCTGTCACCTATGCTGTGTAAGACGTTTCATCCTGAAGGTTCCCAAGTAACTGTAGGCTGTTTACGTATAAGGGAAAAAAAACTGCACCACAGAATACATCTGCCTCTGGGAAGGAGTGTGTCGTCCATTCTTGTAACAACTGCATAAGCAGTTCTTTAGGAGGGGAAGTGAGAACTTGAAATGAAACTGCAGGTGATGTTTCATGAGGGTGTCCTGTAATTGCGTAAATTGGAATTTGGCTAGAATGTTGAGGTTTCCACCATTTTTTATAGTTCTTGCAGCTAATCAACCTTAGTGCCAAATTAAGTCAGCCTTACTCCTGCTGCGTTGAATGTTTGCGCCCCAAATTATTAATAAAAATTCACCAAGCGATGAGTTACTCGGAGTTAAGGGTGGCGTTACTCTCCACCAGATCTGGATTTTAAATAAAAATCAACAAAACCCACCAAAAAAGCAGCCAAAAAGGCCCTAATTCCAAAGTTGCGTTGCCTTTCAGAAGCTACCCGCTGAAGAACGCGGGCTCGGCTAACGCAAGCCTGGTTCCTTTTTGTGTTAGACACACCAGTGAACTGCTTATACTATTTAAAAAAAAAAAAAAAAAAAGGCTGAAGTTCCCCTATTGGTAATTGGGTTTAGACATATGTGATAAACATCTTCAGATACACTTTTTTTTTCTTTGGCAGGAAGGTGCCATGCTGCAGGTAACTAATGAAGAAGTGGTCAACCACAGAAACGCTTCAAGAAATAAGAAATTCTGTATCATCAAAAAATAGTTGTTTTTGCCGCCTTCTTTAAAAACCTAGAGGTTAAATACTGAATACTGATAAAACAGCACAATTAGTACAGCTCCCTGTAACGCTGGGTTTTTTTTAAATTACAGTAATCGTGTCTTGTAAACCTTTCGAATAAAATTCAGATTCGGTAGGAGAAACAAATCACTAATGTTAAAACAGCAAACATTCTGTGCGTAGAAAGTTTAACTACCTATTTTTATAACTTTCATAGCTTTAAAATAAAGTATTTTTTATACCAAAGTAGTTCTAGTGTAATGCTTAATAAAACTTAGTGTGTGTCTAACATTAAATAATGTTTACGCGCAGCTTTTAGACCCTTCCATGACCTGAAACACTCCATTTTGAGGTGGATTTAAAACAAAGTCAACTTGGCGAGTGCATTCGCAGAATCTGTGTCTCTGACTGCGGGCATCTGTTCTCTGCTGGGAGAAACAGTGCCGCAGGTTTAACAGCGCTCATCTTCTTGCCGCTGGGCACAATGGCTTTAAACTAGCTTTTTGGCCGTATTTTGTATCACGTTATGAAAAATACCTCCTTCTTTTCTGTTAACGGATCACTTACGAGAGTCTGTTGGAAGGCGATAGGACGATAGCGCTGTCCTTTACACCTGTAAAGGGCTTTTAGCGTCAAGAGAGACCAAACGTAACGTAGAGTTCTGCGGTACCAGAACCGCACTTCTGGGGGGGTGAAAAAAAAACCCGACGGCAAACAAAATACCAAAAACCAAATGAAACTCCAAGCGTGAGCTTGGGAAAACATCAGTCGGGAACGTGTCTGAGGGAAGGTATCGTCAGTCTGATCCGCTGTAGCCTGTCACCTGCCTGTGCGATGTGTGCTAAGCCGCAAACGTACGTGCTTGATGCCAGGATCTGTAACCGCCTTTGCCCAGTTCAGAGATACGGTTTGAGGGTTCACCTGTGGTTTCTTTTTGTTCTTCCCCCGAGTTTCTGAAGTTGACCTGTGAATATTTGCATAGGTAACCGGTGGGCTGCTACGGAAGCCGAAAAGGAAGACGCGCAAAGCGTGCTTTACTTACCTTCTTTCCGACAGAACGAGCTGACGGGTGGATGAGGAGCTGCCGCCTTGCTGGGAACTTAGATTTGCATAATGGAAGTTTTTTCCTTTACAGTTGCCAAGTCCACGTTCGTATGATACAAAAAACACTCCAAAGGGGAGTAATTCTATGGGCTGCTACGGAAGCCGAAAAGGAAGACGCGCAAAGCGTGCTTTACTTACCTTCTTTCCGACAGAACGAGCTGACGGGTGGATGAGGAGCTGCCGCCTTGCTGGGAACTTAGATTTGCATAATGGAAGTTTTTTCCTTTACAGTTGCCAAGTCCACGTTCGTATGATACAAAAAACACTCCAAAGGGGAGTAATTCTACTCGTTCTGTTAGAGATGTTCACTCTTTCAGTGGTTTTGCAACATGGTCTGAGATTGACTTGAGTACATTTTATTCAAAGTCTTAAACTTGGAGTGTTTGTTTCCTGTTGTCTTACTGTTGAACTTCCGTGACTTTCTCTGGGTATGTCCTTACGAAAATAAGTGACAATCGCAGCGTTCACCGATGAACTCGGTGAGAGAAGTCGCCCTTTCGAGTCAACCCGATGCTGAACGCTCGTAACTTTGAACAAAAACAACGGTGCGTGGTCAGTTACTGCTCCTCAGTTTGGAGATGATGCGTGCTTTTCCTCTCCTGATTCCTAAGAAGCTGGGTTTGTGTCACTCCACAGACTTCGTGTTTTCAGAGTAAGGGTAACTGTGCCAGTCAGAATGTTGCCTGCGCTGAGGGTCAGGTCTGTCCGGAGTGGGCACAGCTGGCCCACAGCAAACTGGGGGAGGGCCGTGAAAGACAACACAACTTGTTTGGTGTCTGGTATGGGAGTGGGGAAAACCGACCCCAGCACCACCGTGTGTGGCTTGTGTTTACCGAGCAGTGGCGAGGATAGGTCAGTACGAGGGTTTGTGCCGCTGAGACTCTGTGTTGGCTGTACTGCTTACAGTGAAAGTTGGCTTTTATTCACGCCTGATTGGGAAACGTGAGAAATGGCTCTCCCTGTGGAGAAATGAGCGGGAACTTAACTTGCGTCACGTGTGGCGAGTAAGACTGTGTTCTTGGGTTCCGTGATGAATGTACCTACTACCTTGGGGATGAAGTCGTACTGCTTCCAGGGAAGAAAATGTGAACCCCAAAACACCCGGGTCTGAATTTTGCATGAGCTGTCAGCTGAGTGGAAACGTGAGAAATGGCTCTCCCTGTGGAGAAATGAGCGGGAACTTAACTTGCGTCACGTGTGGCGAGTAAGACTGTGTTCTTGGGTTCCGTGATGAATGTACCTACTACCTTGGGGATGAAGTCGTACTGCTTCCAGGGAAGAAAATGTGAACCCCAAAACACCCGGGTCTGAATTTTGCATGAGCTGTCAGCTGAGTTGGCTTTGGAAACTTGGCCGCCCTTGTGCAAAGAGGAGGATTTGCTGAGAATGTGCCGGAATGGTACTTCTCCCTACAGCTTCAGTGTTGGGATCTGTTTTCAAGGCAGAGTGCGTGATGCAAGCGGAATCCCATAGCAGTGCTGTTATGTTTTCCCTCCTGCGGGAGAGCCCAGGTTCTCTTCCTGTTTCTACAGCGGTACTGGTAGGAACGCCTAGGGGCATAACATGGATGTTATCACCAACATCTGGTTTCCCCCGCCCCCCACCCCTTCACTTCCTTGGTCTGCTCTTTCTCAGTCTGTTCTTCGGCATCCTTGTCTGGAATCAAGGGCTGGTGCGCTGAGTGGAGTTCTGGTAGCGGCGTAGCGGGTACTGAGCGGCGACGTGGTACGAGACACGCTACAGTAGTAGGACTCCATGTGGCTACGTGTGTCATCTCAGTTTGGTTTACTTAATAAAGACCTTTTCACTAGAACCTGGTGCTGGGTGTCCTGTTGCCTCATTTATAGGCTTCTACCTCCTCTGTCCTCAAAACGGTCATTAGGACCATGCTTCTGACTCCCATAAGATGCTGGTGTTGGGTGTGTATTTTGGGACAAACACCGAGCTGTGAAGAGGGACAAACTGGTGTTGACGAAGTTGCGCTGTCCTTGGTTTCCACGTTGATGCTCGTTGCTGTTTTACCCCATCTGAACCAGACTGCGAGCTCTCGAGCGGGAGCTGTCTTGGTTTGTGAAACTCACCGCCCGTAAAAAGCAAAGTCAGTTGAACGAACCCGAAGCTGCGTTTGGGCGCAGTACAGCGAGGAAGCGGGTGTGCCGCGTCGCTTCCACGCAGCGCTGCCCGTACGCGAGCGTTCAGCCTTGCGTTTCGTACACTGTGCTTGGGGTACTGCACTCGGAAGCGCCAACCTGCTCCTGTGTAATGGACCTTCCTCTAGGAAAGGGACGGGTCTGAGCTGCCCGCAGGTAATGCTGTTCCCTTGTCCCTGTCCATGTCACCAGCAACAGTGGGGACGGGGACCCATGTGCTTTGTGACTTCCCCAGGTGTTTGCTCTCTGCTTAGTCTGACCTCTAGCCTCTTGCTTTTTGTTATCTCTGTAACGGGAACAGTTTGCCACTCGGATGTTATGGACTAAACAGCTCCACCACGGGAACGATACTTTAATGAGAACTTCCACCATGGTGTTTGCTTTTTTTCTGTGCCTGGATCAGCAGCTAAACCTGTGATCCTCAGCTCTGCCATTTTCCAGCAGTATGACAAGTCTTGAAAAAATGGTCCCTATCTGAGGGCGATGCGTTTCTCCGTGTTAGTACTTGGTAGGGCAGAACGAGCCCTCAAAGCTTTATCACTTGGTATCTGGTTCTGGAGTGAGTTTGATACCACAGCATGACTTTTACAGGAGGTTTGTATGCTGACTGGTTTCCCAAAAATCACAATCTGTCAGTAAGAAAGCCGCAGCAGACCTTGGCTGGGGGTTTCCCACCTTTCACAACCCTTCCAGCTACAAGTTTTAAAGAGTGCTGTTAGCCTGGATGGCTCCTGTACGGTGTCTCCTCATCTGTAGGTTGAAAATGCAGCCTAAGGCCATCGGATGAAGCGTATTAAAGGTGGCTGTGGGAGCGCTTTGTTCTGGGAGAAGAGCTTGCTGTAAAACCACTCCCCGATCCAGCCTAAACATCACCTATCACTTAAAGATGTGTAATTTAAGGATGCGTAAGGCATAGTCAGGATGCAGAAGTGTTTGGGGTGGGGGTTTCTTTAAACGCAGGCTAGTCACAGGGAAGACCCTCGCAAAACTACCAACAGTCTGAGGTGAAACTTCTTACTTCAGTCCACTGAAACAGAAAGTAGAGGAAGGCCTTGTTCTGAAGTCTGCCTGCAGTTTGTCTTTCTGGGGGTAGGTAGCTGATGCTTCGAGAAAATTGCACTGTACATCCAGCCCTAGTGCTCAGGGTCTGTGTCATCAGTACTGTTACAGCTTAGTGTACACCCAAAATAAATCACCTGGGAGGTTTTGGATGGGTACAGTTGCTGGCCGAGTTCTCAGCAGCTAAGATTCGCGTGTGAAGTTCTTCAGTACGGTTGTGGCGCAACACCGACTGGCGCTGGGTGAGGGCAGCTCCTGACACCGCCCAGTCTGCGAATTACAGGCACTTGGGGCGTGGAGTTGGGGCTGATGTCCTCGCTTTCGTGTATGCTGCTTACTGAAGAGAGTTCCGATGCGCTTCCTTGTTTTCCAGTATGTGCCAGAACGTAACCGTGTGACCGTGACCCGCCTGGGGTTTGCTGTGCTTCACTGGCTGCTGGCGCTACAACAGCCTGCAGCGCTCGCTCTGCGGCCTACGGGAGCAGTGGGCAGCGGGAGCCTTATTTCCTTTCACCCTGCCATCACACGACTGTAGAAACTGGTGTTGTGAGGCCCTGAAGCTGAAATACTCGGGTTTCTGGTTTGATCCGTTACGGGCCTAATCTAGTATCTCTCAGAACTTGTGCTCGTGGGCCAGGAAGTACGCTTACAGACCTGATCCTGCACTGCCCACGTGCATGGCCTTCAAAAGTGCTCGTTACGTCATTTAATTAAAAGATGGCAGTCATGCCGATTTCATTTTTTTTCCCCCAGAACTAGAAATCAGCCTCACCGTTCCTCCTGTGTCTCCGTTACCTGTTGCACGGTTTGAAGTCCATGAACCAGCAATTAAATACATTCCTTGTGAATACCAGTCGGAATTTCACGCTGATGCTTAACCCACAGCAAGAAATGTCAGGGCTTCACTAATGAAAGTTTCCACTATAAATTTATCTATCGGTTTGAGGCTGTGGCAAAACTGACAAATAAAAAGAACAAATGCACGCATTTAAGGCAATCTTCCAACATAAAATGCTGAACAATTTGCTCTAACTGGCTGATTTCATTACTGATAATTTGGTGTATTTTGCACGTGGGCAGGCCGTGCAATACACCGTGCAGTACACCGCTTGATGCTGTAATCACAAGGGCAAATGCCAGGATTTACATACTAAAGGGAGAGTTTCTTTTTTCAAAAGATATAATTTGGCGTGTAAACTTGCATTTCATGTGCAGGTTTGTGTGTTTGGTGCAAATGCCTTTTTTAACATACCTCACCCTAAGGTGCTACACTGTCATCATGCCATGGCCAATAGATTATTTTCTTTTAATTCCAGTTTTATGGGGCTTGTTTATAAAAGAAATTAAAAGTATGTGTTGCTATCTAGTTGTTAATATTAGTAATTATTTTAATACCTTGTATACTACTGTGCCTCTTCCACATTCCTTTGTTATCATTCATTACGTGGCCTAAAAGGCATCTTTTTTTGCAGGCCTTTTTCAGGTTGTAAAACAAAAAAGGAGAAGCTGTTGTGAGTAAGCATGTGAGTGAACGAAATGTCTTATTTTTCACAGCACAAATAAATATCGAACCCAAAATCTCTTCTCTTTATTCAAAGCTACTATTAGAGTGTAACTGTTATCGCAAGTACAGATGAACAGTAATTTGGTTCAATTTAACTTACTTTAAAGATTTGAGGGAAACCTAAAAAACCAAATCCCTAATACTGAGGATACTTAAAATACACCAGTTTTAAAAAGCCAAAAATAAAAACATCAGTACTTCTCCCTGAGGAAGGTATCCAAATGGGTGGGGTGGAAGGGAAGTTACACAACCAAATACATCACAGAGTAGGAAAGAGAACAAGAACTCAGTTCACCGTCACTCATTTCCAGGGAAGAAAGTTGAGTGATTCAGTTGCAGAGGAGGAATGTTAAGACAATATTGAATCAGATGCTAATTATTTTTCAGACTATTTGCAGATTGACCATACGAGCTGTAAAACCAATTGGTTCAATGGTGGTGAAAGTAGTGAGGAAAAACGCAGCAGCCTCCTGGGCCTCCGTCCTCTGAGGAAAACTAGGAAAAGCAGAACAGTTCTGAGCAAATGCAAAGCACAGGGTATCTCTTAAGAATACAACATAAATCCACAATGAATCTACGGTGAACTTGAGCCCCGAAAGAAAAATTGTAGCTAAAAAAGTAATAAAATAAGGTCACTTTGTGTATGAAAAACCAGGTACTCAAGACAAACACATTTTTCTTCCATGTGTATCTTTGATCTAAAGCTTATATTTTCCCCCACTGATGTTCTCCCCTCTTCCCCCATCTCCAGAAACTAAATTTCTGGTTTTACATAGGCCTGCGTAACCACACACTGATGGCTTAGCTCCTTCAATGCTAGTTGAAGCTGCACAGATTTCCTCATTCAGAAGCCTCAGCTGGTAGATTTTCTAAGAGATCACAGTCAGCCAGGACTGTCAGACCCTTGAATGAGCAGTTTTCCTCCTGGAATGTAGTCTTTTCTGTTTGTACTACTGTAATCACCGGCCTCCAGCCTTCAGGCAGATACCCTTATCAGTCTTTCAGGAACAATGAAACCTCTGCTCTTTTACATTATCTTGTTTCTGTTATGATTTGACCAAGTGTTTGAGCATCACGAAAACGCTGCCATCACTGCTGCAATGAATGGCATACTGGCCCGGGTTAACAGGTCGGTCCTTGTTGTCCCTCAGTCTACTGACAATGTCACGGTGCAAGCTGTTCAATTTTTGCTTCATCTGGCTGATTGATCTGCTACACTGAGACTGCTCCTTCTCAAGGCTCTCTTTTTGTGTCTGAAGATTGCATACGTCTTCTTCCAAGTTAAGGATTGCATTCAGTTTACGTTTACGACGATTCTGGGCAGCAACTCTGTTTTTTCCTCTTCGTCTGATGTCACGTAGGAGCAATACCTCAGTACGTGTCAGATGGTTCATTGCTAGCAGGGCGCTGAAAGAGCTGAAGGGCATGCTCACAATTTCATCTACCGAAAACGGTATTCTCAGAGCTTTTGCGCAGTGTTCGTCGCTGCTGAGGTCTGTATCAGTAGAATCACGGCACCTATCCTTTACTTTGTTTGGTTTCTCCATCCACATCTGTTGCTGATGATCCGGAGCACATGCTGCTTGACTTGAGAGCCGACTGTAAGCCTGATTGTGAAGAAACCGCTGAAGTGTGGCTTCTCTGGAACACTCTGAACCACCTGGATATTCCACATGGCCGTATTTACTGTGTTCTTGGCTCTGGCCACCAACAGCTCCTAAGCCATGCAAAGAAATGGATTTAACGTCGCTGCTGTACCCAACAGCACCTTCACTGCAGACGGAGTAAGAGGTAGAGCTGTGGCCCGAATTCAAAGACAGTCCCAAATCCAAGCTGGGTTCTTCAAAGAGCTGAGAGACTTCTATACGATCAAAGCCTTCCTCCAAAGCCAAAGACATCAGCTTTATATCATCAAAATCATCTTTAGGGGGCATTAGGTTTCTAATGTCAGCAGCTGAAAATAACCCTGTCAGATGTGACTCATGAAGTAGCGACTCTGGATTTGTGACAGTAGAGCTTGACTGAGGAAAAGACACTTGCCTTTGTACATGTCTTGTTCCTGAATTTGGTTGAGTGGGGCAGCCCGTTCTCAGTAGCGCGGCATCGTGAGGACTGAAACAGTGGCAAAGTGCCTGGGTCAAACATATATTGTGGTGTGAGGATGATGGGGCTTGGCCTCTACTAGAAGTAGCAACTTGTGTTTCTTCCAGTAAACTCGCCTAAAAGATGATGGGGGGAAAAAACAGGATCTTTTATAAGATGAATGTGTCTATATTCCTCACCTACACAGTCTTGATAAATTTATTTTTTAACATTCCACTATTTGAGTCTATTAAAGTCAAAATTTTATACGTCAAACTCCTTTTCTAGCCATCCTGAATACCGTTTCCCATTTGTACACAGCGTTACCTGTGCTGGCCTAAGGCAGAAGGGGGTGGGGGGGTGGGGGGATGTTTGTGTGGAAAGCAACTGAAGGGATGGGAGGAAGATTCCCGAAGGACAGTGTGGGACTAATGAGTGTTAAGAGGTGGAAATGGGACCATTAAGTACATCAGTGTTTATCTGATTAGGTCTAAGAAAAGGTCCTTCTAGGAGGTGCAGTCATGCCCCTTTCCTGGTAGTCATTTTGATGATCACCGATTCCAGGGACAGTTGTCTCAAGGTGCTAAACTGTTAGATTAACCTTGTAAAGAAGACAGATAAGATCACTGGCAGGACTTAATCAGTGAGAACAGTGGTGTCGGAGGTGGACAGGACCCTTAAGGTCCTGCTGGCACATTCTCACAGTTTATAAAGCTTTTGGGGCTGGGAGCTGGCACATTTGGCTTAGCTCCTTCTAAACAGGTCTATTGTGTTCAGGAATTTCAACTCAACTCCTTTACTAATCAGTTTGGAGGAAACATCCCCCAGATAACACCTTCTGTGGATGTACTTACAATTTAAATTTCTACTCAGCTTATCTTCACAGAAATAAAGCTGCTGTGTGATCCCTCAGTCCAGACAGTAAGCGAGTGCTGCAGCCAACCTTTTGTGGGCCTGGGTTATAGCTGCTGGGTCGTAGAAGTACAAAGCCACTGCACAAGATTACATCAGGGCACTTGCTAACAAGCAGTTCTAAAATAAATGGCTTCAAAAAACTTGAGAATGTAAATACATCAGGTAGGAAGTGCATGATTCCTCCACAGCTGAGCATCCTTACTGTGCAGGAAAGGGCTTTTCTGAATGTAGTTCATCGAACAAACAATGTGAAAAGCACTTTCCACAGGGAAGGAATGATGTACCATAAAGACCAGAATGTCTTAAGTTCTCTGCTGCGTTTACTGAGAGCTCAGGTAACAGAACAGTCTTGCCTTGCTTCTCGTAGGGAGTTACCTTGCACTAGACCATCTGTGAGAGACAGAGCTGGTATTTTCAACTAAGGCCTTGAAAAGAAATACTCTTAGCAACGTAACTAGTAAAAAATCCCCCACGCTGTAAAGACATGGTACCTGAATAAAACAAGCAACCCATTTTCAACAGATAGATTGTCACAAGATGGCAGTGCATTAGTAGTCTTACATAAAATACGCAGCTGTGTGTTGTCATAAAGGCTACAGCCATATTCCTTTCAAATTATGAAAAGAACAAAGTAAACTGAACTGATGAACTTCTGAACCTTGTTAGTGTGGAATCCCTTAGCAAAGCTGACAGAGGAGAAGACTAATTTGTGGGCTGGGTGGCACTATCCAACCTAGACATTCCCAAGACCATGTGTTCCAGAGATAAATATCAAGTTATATGGAAAACACTAACGACCCTGTAAGGCTCCTACAATGGGAAGCTTATGTAGGATGCCCTTGGAGGATTGCAAAAAAGGAATGCAGGTAGTAGCTTGCTGGTTAATGATTGCAACTATGAGCTGTGGGAGAGGAGGGAGACTGCAATTAAGATAACAACTGGTTTTTGTGAAGATGGGCAGCCTGAAAGTAAACAACAGTATCACAAGCCCAGAAGACAATAAAAGAAAACAAAATGGTTTTGCTGCTAATGCTGACTGACCTGATGATGGGTCTGTGCTTCTTAAGGGTAGTATCCTTGTAAGCACTTGACCCAACATGTACAGCAACTCTTAAGGTTTGGCTGCAAACGCTTAATAGCTGCTAACACTTAGCAACTCAGTGTTGCTCCAGGGAAACACACCAGAGTTGCTGTATAAATAGGAAACTGGCATTCGGTTTCAGAAGGGCAATTATCAGTTGAACTAGTTAAGTTGTCCGGTTGCTCCACCCAGTTCTGAACACCAGGTGACAGAGACGACAAGACTTTGCAGGTTTAAAATCCCAGACAAATTACTGGGGAAAATTTTTTGAGTAGAGCCAATGACAGCGGACGTAAAAGGCGGATACTAGTGTCTTTAACATATTCAGGTAAGTCTTACTGCACCCGTTTATTGATATATTCACTGCTTTTTTTGGTTTTTAATTAGACCAAACAGAGCAAGTCATTATCCAGTAATCACTGACTGTGCCCCGATCTATTAGCAATACACGTGTTTTCCAATTTACCTCTAGCATGTTTTCCAGCTGCGATGACAGAAGCTGTAAATAGGGGAATCTAGGGAATAGGGAATCTACATGGCTGCGGTTGCTCTGTGACAGAAAAGAGAAAGATGCTTTGTAAAGAACAGTTATTTTACATGAAAGGAGGTAAAAACGTAAGTCCGAGAGGAAACAGAGCACAGCTCTGTGAAACACTGCTGCTGACCCTGCCGTCAAGTCTTTAGCCTGATGGAAGACGTCACGTTGCTAGAATGAGCAGAATAACTCCATGGTAAGAGCATCCGACTCTGACCCATAACAGCAGAGCTGGGGCATTCCTCCTCTTTGAGGCTGCACCAACTCACTGTTGTGGAAAAATCAAGTCTTTTTTGCAAAGCCTAGCTGCTGGGGCAGTGGCACATAGAGGGGCTGGCAAGAAAATCGGATCCCGATATTCTCAGCTCTCACAAGGTCTCAAGAAGAATGAATGCTCTTATTGTAGCTCTCAGAGAGAGCAAAACCCAAAGCGCGCCCGTTTCAGTTTACCATCATTAAGGTTATTTCTCTGCCTTCTAGTTACAGTACACACGTTAAGATCTGAACACCCCCACTACATGTGAGCATCAAGCTTTACATAAATGGTGAAAGCAGTATACATCATACACCTCTCAAGTGTTTGTAGGCCAAAAAAACCCCAAATCCTTGCCCACAAACCCAACACCTTCAGGATGGAGAAAATAAATTCAAAACCTGTTATTTGCAAGTGATTTCTGTAATTTAGAACAATTCAACTACGTAAACTATACAGGGTGTGTGTGTGTAATTTTCAAGAGGGTGTACAAAGGCATCATTCACGAAGTATCGTCTGCAGTCACTGTTCCTTTCCTGCCCTCACAAAGGACACTCCAAACGAAAAGAGGAAATCAAACATTCCTTTCAAAACCATTCACTCAGTTTCTTTCACCACTCACTCTGTCAGTGATAAGGCCTATATCCTCCATCATAGTCCTCTTCACAGTTTTCCCTTCTTCCCTTTTTATCATTATTTATTTGATTTATGTCTTCCTTCTCCTCCTCTTGCAGCTCCAGTTGATTGTTGGTGTGGACAGCAGTCATCCACAGCTTCCTGACATGCTTTCAGGTCACCCTCCTGAAGACACAAATAAAACAGTTCTGTTAAGCAATGCGCTGTCAAAATGAATCTTTAAAATGCACTTTTTTTCTTTTTTCTTTTTTTTTTTTTTTACAGCTATAGCATTTCAAATAAAACATAAACTGAAGGTTCGTTCATGTGGATGAACAGACTCTCTGTAGACTCTGGGGGTAGAATGAGACCGAGGACAGCTCAGGAGGGCAGACAACACCTCCTCTTTTGGTGCCCAGGCACTGAAACCATCTGCGGTGGAAATGGACATTCATAAACACGGGAAACAAATTCTCCTACAACAGACACATGACAATGTGATTTCATGGGAAGTTTGGGCTATCGCTGTTGTTTGGATGTCATTTCACAACAACACAGCCAAGCCAGATATATACTCAGGGATATAATCTTAAAATAGGCAATTATACATGGACAGTTAGCAAAATACCTGGCTTTTTCTTTCAGGAAAACAATCACGTTAACATATATTGTAACAGCAGCTCTGTTTCCCCATCACATCCATGTAGTCACTACCCAGTTCCATTTATCCAAATAATGGTGTGGGGTTTTTGTTTGGTTGTTTTTTTTTTTTATCTCCAGCAATTAAATGGTTCCAATTTAGTGGTCTCAGAGCATTTTTCAAGTTATCTTTTATCTATAGTCATCTCAGCAGACTTTTTATTATAGGGCTGGGGCATTGCTAGGGTAAGAAGGAATCACTGCTAAGGACTTTGCATATTTATATTTTTAAAAACTTTGATAATTCAGCTTTTATAGGGCCTTTCTGAATTATTAAAATGCAAAGCTCAACAGAATGGAAGCCAGAAAACCAAGTGGCCCCACTGCACTAGTTCCATACATCCCCAGCAAAATGCTATGGCAGGAGCAGAAAAGACAAGCTCTCAACTGCAGCAAACATAACGAGTTAGTGTTCTGTTCTAAAAATCACAACACATTTACTTTACAGGTTTTCTATTAAAGCATAAACTATAAAAAACTCCCGTTGTAAGAGTCATCAAAATGTGCAAGAGATTTTTTTAAATTACTGTTTCATACAACACCCATTAAACATTAAATGTAAGAAGGCTTAAAAATAGGATGCCAGAGCAAAATGAAATATAATTTGAAAATAAAGTAATATTCATTTCATTTTTATTGATTCCATTAAAACTTATTATTTAAATTGTGAAAACTCATTTTCTTTTTAACTGATTTTATTTGTTGTCTTTCCATTTTTCTCTACTATCTTTTCAAGGATTGGAGGGCAACTTTATTTTACAAACAGCCATTTCTAACAGGAAGTTGATACACAAGGCACTTCGTCACTCTGATCTGAGAGGTACTTCCCTTCAATGATGCCCAACACAGTTTCTAGCTATTAGAAATTATATTCCAATATAGTATGCCATCTTTGTCAGCTGGAGTTGGCAATGGCCAGATGACTTATTATTGCCAAATATGAGAAAACAAATTTACTTTTCTAAACACACACACAAAAATACAGTTTTCCTCTATGCAGTAAAACAGCAGGAGAGGGAATTTAGCGTACGGGACACTG